TTGAGAATTTGCGTTTTCTTTCTTTTTCTTCCTCAATTTATTTTTGTCCCACTTCGCAGCTCAATCACTGCCACGCTTTCTTTCGGATGTATTACTGTTTTTTCTTTTTATAAAAAAAAAACAAAATACAATTTTCACTTTTGTCACCGACTCACGAAGACCATTTTGTGCCCTTTTTCTTACCAAGTGTATAATTATTTCCTTTATCCAAAAATAATATCAAGAATTGATCTTATATTGGTTAATTCAAAGGAAAATTGTGAAAAATAGCAATTTTTAATACTTCAAAATCTATAAGTTCTGTAAAAAAAAAAATGGGTCCTTGGATCCAAAAATATATTATTTTAATAAGAATATTGTCAACAAAATGTAATGTTTGCCAAAAACACCAAAACTTGTATTAAGTGGACGTGTGATGGGGTACTCAATGGGTGTCTTGGTTGGACAAAGACATTTACTAATATATTTTTAGACATCCATGTATTTTTGGAATACGAAAACCACAAGTTGGAGAAGATAAATTATTATTATTTTCCTCAAAATGTTGGTTCAACATTATTTAATAAAATCAATTATTAAGTATATAATTTTAATCTTAATGAACAATTTGATTTCTTTTTCTGAAAATAGTCTTTAGGTAATTTTAAATAATATTGAGAAGAATGAATAGTGGAATAATAAATTCAATCACTAATAACCTTGGCTTTGGTTTATGAAATGAATATTTCATGGGGATAGTGAACATCACACGTGTTTGTCATAGGATGCTGACGCACGCGTGTTCCGGCAAAATTGTCCCCCTATTGCATTGTTTGGCTTGGCTTGTCATTTTGTAATTCCGTAATAACACGTGAGGGAGAGTTATTCAGGATAATAATTTCACAATTAACGTTGAAATATTTCTATAGATAATGTATTTAAAATTAATTTTTTAATTATTAAAATCACTTAATTCGTAATAAATATTTAAAATTTTAATTAGATGATTTTAAAAGATATTTTAATACTAGATTTTTACCGTATTTTTAAAAAACAGTAAAATCAAACCCTAAACGATAATTAAAAGAACGCATCATGTCCACAACATTTTACCTGGATTTTTTTTTTTACTAAAAAATCTGGTTGCAGAGTTTATTAAACCAAAAAAAGGAAAAGTAATGGTTTTCAATTGTGCACACCAACAAATAAAGTACTCCATCAAACTAAAGAAAAAGTAAAAATGTTTAAAACATGAACAAAGAAAAAAAGAAATTGAAGAGATCCGAAAGAGCAGCCGACCTTCTTTCCTTGCAAAGGTGAAACAAACAACAGCAAAAAAAAAGCAGAAAAGATAAGAACAAAGCCTTTGCATAATCTAATTGTGGAAACCTTTAGGAACTAAGGAGGATCGATCCATCTTCTGTCTTCATCCGCCTGAATCAAGGCTCGTCGTGGAACTTCTTCCATCCAATACTGATCGTTGACCCCGTTGCTATTGATTGTAGCCAAAAGATAGACTACCTGGTTACCGGAATCTAAATGTCGATTTCTGACCAATCTGGGTTCATCGACGTTGAACGCCTCACCACCGAGCGAGAATCACCCTCAATGACAACATGGATGATTCTTAGATCGAGAGACAGCTGAATCGCGTGTATGGTAACCACCACTTCCGTAACAAACGCCGAGGTAATCCTCTCGATTTTGCGTCTACAAGCTCTCAAAATCAAACCCCCAGCATTCCGTATAATCACACCTGACCATGTATAATTGTTTTCTTGCGAGAAACTGGCATCAAAGTTTGCTTTGACCATCGGGGCCAGAGACGGTGTCCATGTGATTGAAGGTACAGTAAGTGGACTACTGAGCCAAAAGTTAATAGTCTCAAACTCTTCATAGTGTGAGTTGGTGAAAGAAAGAATCTCGCTTGCGAAAGTAGAAATTCTTGAATAATAACTACGGTTTCGAGGATACTAAATTGTCCAAAAATAGTCGATATCTCACCATGTTTGTTTGTTGGGTAATTGTTAAATAACCAAGCCATTCTTTAACAAACCATAGGGATCCCATAGTCGATCATTGATAATGTAGTCCTGGCCAGACATCATTTAAAAACGAGCAATCGCGCTCTAGATGTTCGACAAATTCAACCAGACTCGGGCACTTTAGGCAATAAAGGTTTATGGAAATTCTTCGATAGAAATTGTTCTGCATAGTAGGAACTGCGTTAATTCTGAGCCAACCTTTGGCTGCCATCTTTTCTACTAGCCTGGGATTGACCAGCAACATGCTGAGCAGGTGGGTTATTTGATTCGGGTGAGACATCAGCCACGATAATGGAATCTTAATCCAAAGCAAATGGACTGAAAGTGGAGGGAACAATACCAGAATTTGCAGCCTCATAGGACACCTTAAGGGCCTTCTTTTGATTGCGTCGCTGCTTCTTTTCTACAATCATCCATGGATCAAAAGCTTCGGTTGGAATCGGGGGAGGAATAGGGCCCATTGCCAAGGGAGGAGCGTCAGAAGAATCATTTTTCTCTGCTATCTGAGGAGCAATAGTTGGACAGATGTCTTTTAAGCTTCTTCGCTTGTACAGGGTTGTGAGAAAAATAATTTTCCTATACAAGACATCCATCATATTATTTCCTGAAGTATTACTTCTTATAGTCTAAAGACGCAGTTCACCCTTGAGGTCTTATCTATTTGGTAGAAGACGTCATGCAGTCGTGTTGTCTTCTTCATTTGCCTAAAGATGTCATGTAATCGTGAAATCTTCATATTTAACTTGAAAGACGCGTGGAGTACCTGACGTCTTTAAATTAATATTGTGCAATTCATTCTAGATGAGAAAATAATACCTATGTTAGATTATATTAAGAATTAAAAAATCTCTATTACATTATCTCAACCATTTTACCCTTTCACATGCCTATATTCTACATTAAAAAAGACGGTGGGTAATACTTGGTACTCCACGAGTTGAATCCTATCGTTTATATCAATTTTGGAGAAAGGGCTTATGTAGGTTCAAGCTCACAGCCATGCAGGCGAATCGACCGCGTTGATCATTGTCAATCTGATAGTCAACCTTAACAATAGAACCAATCCGATTCCCAATGGCCTCGATCATACTCCGCTTATAACAGGTGATCAGCAATCCTGGAAACCTCACACATGCCATAATCCAACTAGGGTGGGATTGAGTCGGGAAGAAATCAACGGACCACGGCTCCACGGTCAAATAGTGGTTGAAGATAGTCCAAGGACCATCCGATAAAAGTCCTGCCTACAAGAGAACTTCACCAGAAAATAATCATTTTCAATATCAATCATCTTAACTGGGGGCGAAGGCTTCTAAATTGAATATATTCTATTATGAAGAGTATTATATATAGCTAACTCTTCGGCCTAAAACTTTGTCAATAAAAGTAAAATCCATACTCTTAATCGCCAATTACTGTACCCGCTCAGGGAAATCAATGAAATAAATTCCTACACGTATGTCATCCTCCATAAGGTCGAAATCAAACTCCTCAACGTCAAAAATCCGATCCTCAGATTTATCATGGGTAGGGTTAGTCGACAAACCTGTAACCATATCCTCATAAGAAACCGGGGACTTTGAGGTCGATGAAACATTACAGTCCATGAAGAGTGGGGATTGTGCTATGGAGGGATCAGGAGGCGGTTCGCCGGGGTGGGGGGAACATCCCGCTGACAAGGTTTTTTCGGATCCCTAGGAGAATCGAATGGCTCTGAGGAAATAGGAGCGATTTCACCCATCTTTTTATCGATCGATTAGTATTTGTTGGTATTTATATACATACCAAAATGATAGATAAATCAACAGAGAGAATTGACCATCCGTACATCACCTTTATATTCTTTTCATGCCATTCAGACAACATAGGTAAAAACAACCAATAAGTACAAAGAAGGTGAAAATCTCTCTTCTTGAATCATATGGCATGCCTCAAATGATTACTAAGATTTTGAATTCAAAAACAAGTATACATGCATGAAATATCATATAAACCACTGTTCGAGAACTGTTCTGTAATTACACAACGTATGAAGAATCAAAATGGTGTCTGAAAGCAAGAATAATTAATCCTATGCATCCTCTTTGCATGGAGCATCTAATTTCGCAAGTCGAACCAACAGTAAGTCACACCGAAGCAAGTGAGTTGAAATGAGTCCATGCACCCTGAAATTACCAGAGGCGTTCAGACATTAAGAACCTAAAGATTGACACATTTAAATGCTGGTGTCCTAATAAGAAGAAATGTTGTCCGACAAAACAAATTGTGGCCAAACAACCGATCATCCCATATGCATGAAATTTCACCTTGTGGTTGTCCATACGGATGTGCCGGTGATGTTGGCCCAGTTGTCTAAACTTGGAGATTGTTTCAAGTATAATAATTGATCATATTAAACGTGTTTGGTGAGCCAGCTCCAGAAAAGAACTTGTTACATATAATAAAAGTTTTCTTTGAGAATACACGTACGGAAGACTATTCGGTATGAATCCATTCGGATCAAATTGAGAAAAGAAAAAGTTTATATATGCCACAAAACTTGAGTTTACATAATACCTGCAGAATATCAAAGACTTGTTGCGCAATGTATTTTTGATCTGATGCAGCACCCTTCTGCTGTAGCTTATCTGGATGTAGACACAGTAGAGCCTTTTGGTATGATCTTTTCACAGCTGGTCCTTCTATTATGTCAACAAGAGGAACTGGCTTCCAACCACAACCGGGCCAAAGAACCTATGTATACAACCAATGTTATTCAACTCTGTGACTATGCCTAAAACTTTCGAGTATTTGAGGCCATTTTTTGTCTTTAGAAACCTTAACCATTAAGCTACTGTTGGCAAGAAGCAATTATGAACCCAATAATTTAAAGAGCTTTAATTACTTGAGAAAATATGGATCTTTTACTACTTACATATTGTAAAGTTGACAAAAGCGAACGGATATTGCCTTGTTTTCCGTTTGACCATTTCCGTATTTTATCATCTATGACCTGCATCAATGAGTAGCCAGCTGAAAAATGCGAAGCAACATGGATTTATGTTAATTGGTTCTAACACTATTTAGTATAATCTCTATTACCTCCATTTCTAAAGGATCAATTCCAAATTTTGGCAAGTTGTTCTCTTCCGGAGTCGGGTCTTCTATCTGTTCATAAAGCCAAAAGTGAACCAGCTTAGTAGGGGTTCAGCCAAAATATTATCTTCCCTACTAAACAAGTAACCAGGTTGGAAATTATTCAAAGGTGTATAGTTATGGACTTTGGGGCCAATTCACTTATTAACCTTTGTATAAACAGAAGCCCCATGTTTCAGTTTAAAATGCCTGGTTCCTACTATCATTGGAAGTGTATGTAGACTCATAGTACAGATAGAGTGATTTTCATATCAACCATCAGGAAATGTAAAAATAGACATAAATGTAAAAACAGACGAGTAACCTACCAAAAATCTTCCTCAAATAACTCTGCTGGATCCTCAACAATATTCTTGGAGTTATCAGCAACTGGTGCCAACAGAGAAAGTCGACAATCAGAATTGAACATCTGCAAACTCATGGTTTGCTAACTGAAAGATCAAATGATGTAAAACAAGAAAATATTTTATCTGTTGCAGTTTATATACGTAATGAACTTCCCTCCATATACTTGGTTCAAAAGTACCACAAGCAGATTATGCAGAATTCCATAACATAAAAAAAAGTAAAAGCTCATTTAGAGTGAAGAAAGCAAACAGATAAAATGTACCACTTTCTTTTACTGAGCTATTGAGGTTCTTCTCGGATGCTCCCTTACACATATCACTGGCAACAGGAATATCTGAATGTGGTTTCTTCTTTATCACGCTATTCAGGTGAACTTTCTCTACCCTTGTTGTATTCATGATAATATTTGGTTCAGTCTCGGGCCTGACTTTGTCTCTTTCCTTCCGACTAGAGCCATGATTTTCAGATAGTGCAGCATCCGTTCTAGGTCTTGATGAAGCATCCTGGTTGAAAATTTTGATTAATTCTTTGACCTTTCCTCTGACTCTGGCTTTTCCATTATCCCATGATTTCCTAGGGGAATGTTTCACGCTCGATGCACTTGTTTCCACGTTGGAAGTAGCCCTTTTCTTTACATCCTGTTTTTTGGTTTTTTTACCATCTAGAATTTCAAAAAACTTCTTGGCATTCATTTCAGGAATGCCTTTGCTTCCATAATTTTTAGTTATTTCACCATTGCCTACATATGTAATAGAATAAAACATTATAAGGAACAACAGCATCAGCACCAAAACGTATCATGTCGAAGTGGAATATGACACTTACCTCGTTCATCATCGAAAAGCAAATTCAGATGTTTCGGTTGAGGTTCTTGAGTTGCATTTCCATCCTCTGAAACTTCTCCCTTGGAAACATTCTTAACAGTACTTTTAAGGTCGTTTATGATTTCTAACTCAGGCTTGGTAATGTTGTCTTCCTCGATAATTCGACCGAGTTCGCCATCATTTCTTGAATCGATTAGAGAGCCTGTTTTTTCATTCTTGACATGCTCTACCCTAAAAGATTTACAACTTGATGACCTTCCATCAAAAGAGAAAAATCTATTATGCAGTTTATCTTTCGGTTCCTTTGCTATGCTTTCATGTGGTATCCATCCATTAGCACTTATGCTCCTCTGCAGTTTATCCTTTCCTTTGCGTCTGTCACTTCCCCTTGGTGGATTGGATACCGGTACACTTCCCTTGTTTGCCCATTTGTATATTGAGAAGTTAAACCAGTTGCCATATTTCAAAATCCCCGAACTACTTGAATCTTCATTCGAATTGCCCTTTCTCTCCGTTTCCGCATACTTAGTCGAGTTTGTTGACTCCTCATTACCTTCACTAAAGCAATATGAGGATTGAAAACCGTTTCTCGGTTCTTCTTTATCTTGGTTTGCTTGGCCTGAGAATTTAGACATAGGGGTTTGAGTGGAAGAGCCAAACATGGGGAGGTCCATTCCTTTGCTCAATTTAGCGGGAAGGTTTGGATGTCTGTTAAAGGCAGCCAAAGTAAAGTTTAAACCAATGGCAGAAACATATGAAATTACCAAGTTTTCACTTTTTACCAATTAAACACTGTTCTCATGCCTTGGAATACGTGTCAGAATGTATCAATGCAACAAAAACACGAAAGACACAAATGCATCAGAAACTAGAAGATTAATCATAACAAAGAAGCATGAAAAAGCAAATATCTGCAAGAACTGAAAATGTTTCATATGGGTTTGCTGTGATCTCTAACATGTGGGTAAGGGAGTGAATTATGTCATCATTCTAAACTCTTGTCCCTGTAATATATAAAACATATGAAGGCAAGCCGGACCTGAAATGAGGAGGAGATGAACTGCCAAAAGGTTCAGGCTTTGGTGGCAAAGCCGGACTCATTGACTGTGAACCAGGTGCAAAAGAGTCCTTCACTTCATACTTCCTTGAAGCACTCGATGGCTCGTTCCCTCTAAATATATCACGGAAGAAATCGGTTTTCGAGCGCCTTCTCCGGGCCATCTCTTCTTCACCGAAGACCGGCTTTTCGCTCGAACCAGACCATGGATTCCGTGATGATCCAGCAACCACCAGTTCATCAATTCTTCGGTTTTCACCAAAACCATATATTGTCTCTTGAGTTGATGGCCGCCTTGGTGGACCACCGAAGACACCTTTAAAATCTATATCTAAGTTTCTACGTGGGTTATCGGGGGAAGAATTTGGATCCGTGAATGTCTTCTGAGGACTATACCCCAAAACAACACTTTCTCTCTGTGCAAATCTCTGCATTTCAGAATCGAAAAAGAAAATCAAGACAAGGTTGCTTTTAACTGTCAACGTGATACGACAGTTAGTTGAATCAAACTGCGGTGAACTGATCCTGTTTCCCGCTGATGAAGCAAAGGAGGTTTGGTGAGAAGAAAATAAAATGTTTTTGGTAGAGAAAGTTCGAGGGAAAAGACACACACAGTGTGGGGTCAAATGCTCGAAAGTTTGACAGGTCGATCAAGGATTCGAAGCCACAAATTAATCCATGCAATAGAGTTGAAAAATGGCAAAGAAAATACGAAGGGCAGGCTGTTCCGTCAAATATGTCATTCAATGATCAATTGTCTGCAATGGCGATTGTTATTCATCAAGCTTTTTTTTGGTGCTGGTTGAGTCCGAGCTTAAACCAAAACCATGATTTCCCTTTCAGTCCTAAGATCTTCATGGTGGAGAAAATGATCAATGGTGAATGGATCAAAAAGTTTATCCAATTCCCAATCCAAAATCACAAGGACCCATCTGACCTGTTTTCTTGAGTAATTGGTGGTTGAATCAATCCAGGGCCTACCTTGAATGCAAAATGCTTCCAAATTCAGATTCAATCGGCAAAGATTAATGCAAGTAGGTTGAGAGTGGTTGCGTCATACATTTATAATTCTAATCATGACAACAACCTTCTATCCGATGACATTAACATTAGGTCACTCATCTTCCCCCATGGTAATTATGTTGGGACAATGGAGCTCTTGTAAGAGGAAAAACAAGACTTGAATGGCATTACCCAGACCTGACTGAGTAAAACAACCTCGAACTACTCTGTACAGCAGTTTTGGTTTTAATGTAGCAGAGAACATGTTTGTTTGATTATGTGCTTCACCACCATTCTATTGATTATTGAGAAAGATGGAATCAGACATTCAAAGTGCTTTGGTGAAAGAAATGAACCAACGTTGAACCAATGTCAATAACGTCTGCAAATAACAAGAGCAGCCTTTTTTTTAATCAGAATGTCAATAATTTTGCTCTCTGGTTTTTAATTGCATAAATTCTGCCTTTGAAGTCAATTCAATTTTATTAATTTCCTTGTTTAACCAACGCTGATTGTTATTTCAGTGTCATCTTCCCAAAGGAAACATTTATCATCAATTGGTAAATGCAACCATATACATTAGCAGAGTCAGCGAATACTTCTCATAATAAAAACCATACCATCGTTTAAATCAATTTCACATCGTTAAAGAAGAGACCTTGTGAGTTTCAAAACCCATTCCTTATTCCACAATCCTAGTTAAGAGTATCTGAATACCATATTGAGGCTGCGTGGTGATGAACAGAATAGGGGCATGAACATATGTTGATTACACCGCCAGTGAGTATTGCCTGATAATCATAGCTATAGCTGTTTTCATCTCCACCACGGCTAAATTCTGGCAGATTCAAATTCTAGGCCCTAAACCGAATGGAATAAACGAGGCTAAATCCTTTCGAGGTTCTTTAAATCTCAAGGGATTGAATCTGTTAGCATCTTCTCCCCATATATCAGTGTCATGATGAACAGCGGTCAGTGCTAGATAAAGCTGTGTACCCTTAGATAAGTTCATACAATAATTAGATTGGTTTCCTTAATACAGAACGTGTAGGTACTGTTACGACAGCTTGGCGACTCTGCTGGGGACAGGTAAGTGAGTCAGGCCAGAATTAATTTCTGGTTGTCTTTTTATGCGAAAATTGTAAATTTAAATTTAAATTTATTTATTCGGTTCCAATTATTTACCTTTGATTATTTTTCAAATAAATAGTTGTACTAACATTTTTTTAATGATTTCAGATTTTTCAAAGTTTTCTCAGGCTCTATACCCGAGCTCCAAACCCGTTTTAAGTGGGGGCGAAAGCGACGCCTTCGTGTGAATTTATTCACCGTATGGGCCTAGCAAGTAACCTTCGGGATTCATATACCTTATGCCTTCGTGTGAATTTATTCTCCGTATGGGCATAAGGGAATGTTTCCCCTCGAGTTTAACTTAGTCCACATAAGCTTGTAATGGGCTTAGGACTAAGGGTCTGGTAAGCCCAAGGGGGCACCGACAAGAAGAACTCGAGTACCGTTTTTTAGAACCTAAACCGGGAGAGTACAGGGAACTAGAGCCCACCCCAAAACCTCATTCCAAACCCTAGGCTGGTTTTATTTCCTGCTTTATTTTCTGTTCAAAAGCATGCGAACTAGACAAATATGCGGTTAGGATTTGTTTGAAATTAGCATGCGGGATAGAGATCATGTCCGGGCAGGAATTAAAGCATGTGGGGTAGATATCATGTGGGGTAGGATTTTTTTCATTTTTATTATTGTTTTGATTTACCTCACTAACTCTTTTATTTTTTGTCTTCTTTTATTATGTTTTTATCATTCGCATCATTTAAAACGGGGTGTTGATCCACCAAAAATGTGTTTGTTAAACGTAAATAATCTGCATTAATGGGCAAAGGGGTTATAATACAAAGAGATAAAAAGCTCAGAAGTCCAACCGTGATCAAAGAATACTCAGAGGCAAAAGTTGCAGGGGCAAGACGAGGAAGAGGTCACTGACCCGGTCGCTCCTTTCGAAAACTACAAGAACAAGATAGTGAAACACTAGCTGAGCTAGATACCATTACTGACGAATTCAATAAGCAAGCTTCGGATAGTTTCTCTCAATGGAGGGCTCCAATGACACTTTCGTTAGAAACAAGCTCGGTAGAAAGTGAAAGTCGAAGATGCAGTCCTTCGAGATCGTTTTTGGGGCAAGCATCTCATTATTTGCACATTTTAGCCAAAGGAGCCGGAATGGTTCGACAGGATATTCAACTAGTGAAAAAGACGAATCAACTTGTCAGACGCTGTACAGGATTCGTACCATCAAAAAGAGTTTTTTGTCTCTTCAGACGTAACACTTTTGTCACCAATAAGGGTTATTCAGAATAACAGGCACATTTTTTTGGATCAATGCCTCGAACATTTCATGCATCATATATTTAGACGTTTTGCATTTTTTATTTTTCTTTGCATTTTATTATTTTCTCTGCATTCACATTAACTAACATAAACATGTCTCATCAAAGGGAGCAAATACTGGATACACCGCCTCAAGTATTGGACACACCCCCATCCACATAACACTCGTTTGAAAAAGAAGAGGATGGAAGCCAGAATTACACAAATCGAGGAGAATATGTTAAAACTACAGAAGGAGTTAGAGGACAAGATAAACCAGAACAGTCGAAATATTCTGGAAACAATCACAAAGAACCAAGAGTCCTTGGTTGACCAGATCGTTGCCAAGTTAGTTGGCCTACAACAGACCAGTGCGCCCGGGACAGGTTCACCGGAAGGGGTAACTATACAACCTACCCCGCAAGTGGTTATCTCACCTGAAATCCTACCAGAACTTCGAGGGGATTCATCTGCTGCAAAATCAAAGCCCTTGTCCTCTGTATTTAACCCTAGGAACAATCCGGGTTATTACCATGTACCGGATTTGGACGAAGAGGAAAAAGCGAGGAAGATGGAGGAAAAAATCAAACAATTGGAGGACCAAATGAATATAGTCAAAGGAGACCGTGACTACCATGAAATTGATGCAGCAGAACTTAGTCTAGTCCCGGACTTAGTTCTTCCTCCGAAGTTTAAGTCCCCGGAGTTCGAGAGGTTTGACGGAAACAGTTGTCCATCCGCTCACATCACCATGTTCTGCCGAAAGATGACAGGATATGGAGGAAACGACCAACTCCTGATCCACTGCTTCCAGGATAGTCTGTCGGGCTCAGCCATTCGGTGGTACAACCAGCTAAGCCGATCAAATATCAAGACCTGGAAGGACCTGGCCAAATCATTTCTGGAACAATACAAGCATAACAATGACATAAGGCCAGATCGAGTTATGCTACAAAACATGGAAAAGAAGCATAACGAGAGTTTCAGGCAGTACGCACAAAAATGGAGGGACTTGGCTGTGCAAGTTCATCCACCGTTAGACGAAAAAGAAACCCGTAAACTTTTCGTACAGACTCTGAAGGCTCCATACTTTGGGCATCTGGTGGCGATCACATCAGGAAGTTTTTCAGACTTGGTTATGGCCGGAGAAATGATTGAGTCGGCCATAAAGCAAGGCAAGATTAAGGAAGGGGAAGCCAGTAAGAAGCCTCCTATGAGGGAGAGGGATGGAGAGGTTAACAACATCAAACACTCCAGCAAAGGTGTTACAATCTCCAGCCCAAAACCAACTGCGGCTGTACCGTTAGGTACTTCTAAACAAGAGTCCAGAAGGGAAAGGGAACATTTCGACCCTATTCCCATGACCTACAAAGAGCTTTACCAGCAACTTCTTGACACCCATGTGGTGTCACCATATCCAGTAGAACCCATGAAGCCCCCATACCCCAAATGGTATGACGAGAATGCGTATTGTGAATATCACGGCGGAGTCCCAGGGCACACAATTGAGAACTGTTACGCATTTAAGAGGGTCGTACAAAAGATGCGTAACCAGAACTGGATCGACTTCAACAACTTGGGGGCATCCAAGTGAGGAATGTCATTTCATCATTTGAGGCATTCTGTTTGACTTTGTTTTTCTTCCATTTTTTTTCCTCAAAGTTTTTGTAAGAACATTTTAATCAAATTTATGTTACTTTAAAAGATGTCAAGCAATGGATCATATTTGCAAATTTGTAATTCTTTGCATATCATTTGAATTAAGAAACTCTGTAAATGATTCAAAGTTATGAATCTTTGACGAAGTAACATGATTTAATAACAATGACTTTGACCTTATCCAGAATATACCCTCAAACACCATACCCCGCTCTTGTAATTAACCAATATACCCTTTTCCTTTCATAAGGTGCGGACAACATGGGGCATCATTTGCATATGACAATTACTATGTTTTTTATTTAAGATGTTCAATGACGATGATGATCTTTACAAATGAAAGAGTCGAGTATGTAAATCTAGTTTAGGTCAGTTGCTTGAAAATTGAACTCTAAAGATGAAATTTTTT